ACTCAATGCAGTTAATCCTCTAATTCCACTACCACCTATTCTGAGCCTAGATAAATCAGCAACAAAAAACAGAATTAAAAAAGAACAGCAAGAAAGATATAAAATGAGAAAATTGGGCTGGGAGTGGTGGTGCATGCCTGTAATCCCAGCACTTGGGAAGCTGAGGCAAGAAGATCATTGTGAGTTTGAGGCCAGCCTGAACTACAGAGCAAGACCCTATCTCAAAAACAAAAACAAAAACAAACAAAAAAAGGTTGTGAATTTAGCTCAGTGGTGTCATGCCTACCTCTCAAGTGTGAGGTCCTGAGTTTGATCCCTGATACCCTGCCCAAAACAAACCAAAACAAAACCAAAAAAAGGAGAAAATTGTAACACTGTATTGAAAGACATTTTAAAATTACATAGATATCCTCACAGATTAGAAAACTCAGGCCTTAAGTTTTTTGTTTTTGCGACGGTCTCACTATATAGTATACGCTGGCCCTGAACTCACTATATAGCCCAGGTTGCCCTCAAACTCACAGCAATCCTCCTGCCCCAGCCTCTTGGGTGCTGGGACTACAAGCATGCTCTGGTATTTTTATTGCAATCCTGTGCTAGTCCCAAATAAGTATCCAAATAACCTACAGGAATCCTAGGAACATCATATTGACAAAAAAAGCAAGCCCCAGGAGACTACCTATGGTATGATTCTGTTTGGATTAAGTTCAAAAATGAAACATTGTTTAGGGATATAGTCATGCGTGGTAAAACTCTAAAGCAAGCTCTTGAGGATTAGGTGCTGGGCAGCCTGCCTGACCACAGTCAAGAGGGTGTGGAGAAAAGGGCACATGAAGGACATGAATGTATGGGAAGCTAGACAACAAAAGGTCTTGTGGTATCAGAACTCACTAGCTGGGGAAGGAAAAATGTTCTGGGGCTGGAAGCAATGCAAGGTAATGGAAATATTATTCTTCTCACCCATAAGTAGTCCAATGAGTAAAAATAAGAAGGCCCATATACCCTCCAAACCTAGACGACCCTGCAGATGCTGCCAAATTTGTACCACAACCTCAGGCAACCTTTAGGCTTCCATGGGACTCAAGATTTGAAGATCAATCAAGACAAGGCATGCTGAGGAACTCAAGATAAATACTTTTAGGAGTGGAAAGAGGTAAATTTCAAACTTACCACAGTTTCAAGAAAGGCAGAATTATCAAAACACTAACATTTGAGCTTCAGGATCCTTTACCTGCCCTAGCCCTTTTTCACAGTTTGAGAAAAGCCCTAAGCATTTTGTATTATTTCCTTTTTTTTTTAAAGCCCCTAAATGGTATAAACTTCAAAAATTATATAAGCCTTTGGTCTAAACCCTTAAATTGCCAGGCATGGTGGTGCATGCCTGTAATCCCAGCACTCAGGAGGCCGAGGCAGGAGGATCGCTGAGAGTTTGAGGACAGTCTACGCTCAATATTGAGTTTAAGGCCAGGTTCAACTACATAGTAAGACCCTGTCTCAAAAAACAAAAACAAAAAATACCCTCAAAAGAATCCTTGCGTTGTAAAATGCTTAACATATAGCTTGGTTAAATTCTCTGCTTCTACTGAATTTTCTTGCCTCAGAAAATTAGATTTCCCTTAGGAACTAAAAAAGTTTGAAATCTAAGCTCTTGAAAGAATGTGACTAATAAAGTCCCAGATGGCCCAGGGGTTTAGCTCAGTGGTTCCACCACCTGCCTCCCTGGAAAGCATAAGGTCCTGAGTTCAATCCCCGGTACCAAAATAAATAAATAAATATATAAATAAATAAAGTCCCAGAAATCCATGGCTGTGTTCTTTATATTGTTATTTTTTTGCTCTTCTTTTTTTTTTAAACTTTATTTTATTGGTACATTTTAGGTATACAATATAATGACATTCATCATTGGAAATTTGTACCTTTACATAATCTCTCTTGGTTCTTATTTTTCCCCCTTCCCCTGCCCTCCCTTCACCCCCCACATCCCTCCTTATTTATAAAGACTTTGTTTCCATTTTTCATTTTCTCATATTAATTCCATTCCCTTCTTTCCTTTCCCCTACCCTTCTCACTTCCCCTTCCTCTTTGCCTCTTTTCTTCCTATTTCACATTATCTATTATACCTTTTAGTCTTTATTTACACTTTCAGTTTGCTCTTTATTCTTATAGAGAGACTCAGGATACAATGATTCTTGCTGGATAACTAAATATAATGCAAGATTAGTTTTCTAATAAGGCCCTTTGCTAAGAAGGTGCAAACTAATTTTGGCAAGTATCCTTGCTAAATATTGTAACTGGCTCAAGGATGACAGCACACAAGCACCTCTTGTGTTGTGACTACAACTTGCTTTCAAAACACTATGCAATCTTGCTCCAAGGCCAGCAGCACTGTCATACACTGGATGACTTCCACAAATGTTCCTAACCACCAGGTCTTCTGCACCATGATCTGGAAAAGCAGAAATGAACAGCCCATTGTGGCAGAGGAATTATAATGGTACTATTACCACCCCAGCATTTTGCGGACTAAAAACCAGAACTCCTTGTGCTTTGTTGTCTATGTGAATGGAGGAGCTGGACCAGTGATATGAGAACAGAGAGAGGAATTTGCCACCAGATAGAATATTTTCAACAAGAAGAACAAATCATCCAGAAAGAGGATTTGCTTAGCAGAAGTTGAGGAATTTGCAGAGTAAGTCAGAACTCTACTAAAAAAGCTATATCCAACAGGGAAAGAATAGGACTTACAAGAAGATGTTATTTGGGGCTGGGGGAGATAGTTCAGTGGTAGAGTGCTTGCCTAGTGTGCATGAAGCCCTGGGTGCAATTCCCAGAAATACCCGCCATCTTTCACAGATGTGTGTGTGCACACACGTGCAAGCACACACACACACACAGACTTATTTTGAGGAAGCAAAAGGAACATGAAGTGAATTCCCATGAAATTCATGTAAGATGAACAAAGTTCTTGAGAATTTTCTATCAGCAGAAATACTGCCAGCTTGGATTGAAAGGGACAGGGTGTGTACAAAATGAAAGAATGTTGATCACCTCCCAGAATTCTACTGACAAGAAGCAAGGTGATAAAACTACTTAGCTACAAACAAGGTGGTACCTTTTACTGAAAAGGATGGATGTCAGAGGTGTGGCCATAAACCCACAGGGCAGAGCCATGATTCCAGAGTAAAACCAAGAACTCAAAAATTTTGATGAAACCAAGAGCCAAGGGGGCAGAGCTGAGAGCCATGGAAATTTATTCCCAAGCCTTGAGTCCTAATAAAGAACTACTGTCTTGGAAAAGGTAGGTGACTCAGATGGCTGAACCAAGAGTTCAGAAGGCAAAACCAAGAACTCAGAGGGCAGAATCAAGAACCCAGAGGACAGAGCTGTGAGCCACAGGAAATAACTCCCAGGCTTTGACCCTAATCAGGTACCTGGAATTGGCCCAGCTAGATTTCCTTTTTATACTCATTATTTTTTCTAATTTAATTTTCATTAATACATGTAATACATTCTAAATACATTAACTGTGGGGAACTGGTACATATATATAATGCATCTGGATCCTTTTTACTTCTTCACCTTCTCCCCTCCCTCCATTCACCAGCTAGATTTCAAAGCTGCCTTAGGCTGCTGATTCCTTTTCACCTATTTTCTCCTCTTTCTGAACCTGAAGTCTGTAACTGTTATCTTATGCCAGTCCCACCTTGTATGTGAGAGCTGCGGGCAGGCAACTTGTCTTTTTAGTTTCACAGATCCAAAAATAAGGAAAAGGTTTGAGTTTAGGAGCTGTCCTTGATAAGATTACACTGCTTAGGGGGCCAGGGATTTAGCTCAGTGGTTCCGGTGCCCACCTCATAAGCGCAAGGTCCCAAGTTTGATCCCCGGTATCAAAAAAAAAAAAAAAAAAGATTACACTGCTGAGCCTTGTCTATATGGGCTTTAGATAATCTCAATGATGAGATTTGGAAAATTTGAGTCCAACAGATTTAGGATTTTTTTTTTTTGTACCAGGGATCGAACTCAGGACCTTCTGCTTGGGAGGCAGGCGGTGGGACCACTGAGCTAAATCCCCAGCCCCAGATTTAGGATTTTGAACTGTTATTATATGGGATGAGACCTTTTAGATTGTATTTTGCATAAGGGAGAGGTGTGAATCATGGGAGCTAGCGGACAGATTGGTATGAAAGCAATTTCAAACAAGGTTGCTGAAATGGAGAGGGTCCCAGGGGAAGGAACTCTGGGAGGACCTGAGGACAAAACAGAGGGATCTGGTGAACAAACAACCTGGATAAGCCAGGGAGCAGATTCTTCTCCAGAGATTCCAGATAAGATCCTAGCCTAGCTGCTCCTTGACTTTGACCTCATGAGACCTAGATCCAACCACGCCCCCTTGGACTTCAACTTACAGAACATGAAATAATAAAGAGGTATTTTTTAAACTACTAAATTAGTAGTAATTTGTTATACAGTAGTAGAAAACTAATCCAAATTTTGTTTAGGCCTACAGATTCTATTTCTGAAAATGCTGCTCTATCCCAATCTGAAAGTCAGGCAGAGACAAGAGGACCAGGTACAATTTTGGGACTGGCCTTGTGCTTGTGAAACTAGCACAAATTCCCTCATCTAAAAAGTGGGTGGATCAAAGGGAAACAGCTGTAAGAAAACATTTCTATACCAACAAATCTTTTCAAATAACAGATGTATTATTAATCACAAAACCCATGCTATAGGGCTGGGGATTTAGCTCAGTGGTTCCAGCGCCTGCCTTTCGGGAGTTTGATCCCTGGTACCAACAAAACAAACACATAAATTATGGGCTGGGGATGTAGCTCAGTGGTTTTGCCGCCTGCCTTGCAAGTGCAAGGTCCTGAGTTCAATCCCCGGTACCAATAAAAAAAAAAAAAGAAAAAAAAAAAGAAAGAAATCTTAAAACCCATGCTAACATAAATAAATGAGGGGCCCAGATGCACCCAGGAACCAGAAAAGTCATAGCTGTTTACCTTCCTCAGGCCAGGGCTGTAGATTGCTGGGATAAAGATATGCTCCTTCTCCTCCTGCTAGGAAAGTGCCCAGGAAACACTCATCCTCCTTAAAAACAACACCAAAGCAAAAAGCAAGTGATTCACAGCATAAATACTCACAGAGTTGAAAATCCTGTCCAATTTTGTTTGTCTAAAAAGCTGAGTCAGCTAGGCATGGTGGGGCATGCCTGTAATTGCAGCACCCTTGGAGGTTGAGGCAGGAGGATAGCAAGTTCAAGCCCAGCCTGGGCAATTTAGTGACTTAGTGGGGCCCTGGGTTCAATCCAGTACTCAAAAATTAATAAATAAATATAAACAAACAAAAAAATTAAAATAAAAAGCTGAGTCAGACTCAGATACAGCTAGCTTATAGTCTGAGTATTATATGGTTCTTCAGCATGTTACTGGCACCTGATTTGTGCTGAGAAAAGAAATGTTAAGGTCCTCTCTGAGTCCACACATCAAAGCCTATGAATATCTGTTTGTGTCCCTGTGGATTTATTTCTTATGTGAAATGGAGTCAGCTTCTCCTCAGCTTAAACCAGAGGTGGCGAACCTATGGCACGTGTGCCACAGTGAGCAGGCAGAGTTCTCTCTGTTGGCACATGAACCACGTTGCCCCAGCAGCTGAGCATCAGATAAGAGTTGTTTTTACTAAAATAAAACTTTAGTATTCAGGTTTAATTACAGCATTGGAACTTTGCCATAAATAAGTGGGTTTTGGGTTGCAGTTTGGGGCCTTGTCTCTAAGGGCTCATCATCACTGTCCTAAACTCAATGTCTCCGTTTGACAAAAGTAGGCCAATCTGGGATCTGCTTTTAATAGCACTTGGAGCTGGGTGTGGCTGTTGCATTCCTGTAATGCCAGCCCTTAGGAGGCTGAGGCAGAAAGATTGCTGTGAGTTCGAGGCCAGCATGAGCTACACAGTGTGTTAAAGGGTAGCCTGAACTATATTGTGAGACCCTGTCTCAAAAAAACAAAACAAACAAACAAACAACAAGAAAAAACTTCTTGGAGGTTTTGAAAACAGCAAAAGGAGCTAGACATGGTAGCACACATCTATAATCAGCACTCTGGGAGGCCAAGGCAGGAGGATCACAATTCTAGCTCAGTCTGGGAAAATTAGTGAAACTGTCTCAAAAAACAATAAAAAAAAAGGGCCAGGGTGTACCTCAGTGTGAGGTACAGTCCCCAGTTCCACAAAAATAAATACATAGGAGCTGGGGATTCAGCTCAGTGGCGGTGTGCCTGCCTTGCAAGTGCAAGGTCCTGAGTTTGATCCCCAGTACTGAAAAAAGGGGCCAGGCATTTAGCTCAGTGGTTTTGCCACCTGCTGTGCAAGTGCAAGGACCCGAATTCGATCCCTGGTATCAAAAAAACCCAAAAAACCCAAAAAACCCCTGGTACCAAAAAAACAAAACAAAACAAAAAAAACACAACAAAATAAATAAATAAATGAATACCCAACACCAAAACATCTGAATGGCAGAGAGCATCCCTCTAATTTTCTCCCTCATAAATAGTTATTCCAGAGGTCTTTATAAAAGGAGAATGCAAACAGGAAGAATTGAAGACAAAGAAATGCAGATCCCTTATAGTAAGATGCAATCTCTTAAATTATGTTTATGAATTGTTTACATTTTATTCTAACATGATAGCAACACCGAGAACAAGAAGGCTACTCACCCTCACTGCTTGCTGGGTTTTCTCAGACAATTTTACTTCATCATCTTCTACCTGTGTCCAATAAAATTCAGATCTTCAGTGCTTACTTCGGCAGCACATATACTAAAATTTAGATTTTCAGTTTACCACTTCAAGGACAAAATCCAACTGGGTCTCACCACTATTTTCAAACACTGTCAGGAGACTGAGCAGCAGCCCCATCTGCCCAGTGTGGTCAGGTCCCTACAAGCTGGCAGAGGCAGCTCTTGGTCACAGGCTCAGAGCCCTAGGCCATAGCAGGTTCTCTTGCTGGGATCTATGGTCCTGTCAATGAGCTTGTGGCAGGTGGAGAGGGTGTGGTAATCTCCACTTACACATCACTCCAGAGGAAAAGTTATTTTTTTTTGGTACTGGGGATCAAACTTGGGACCTTGCACTTGTGAGGCAGGTGGTGGAACCACTGAGCTAAATCCCTGGCCCGAAAAGTTATTTTTTAGGGATGAAGGTATGAGAATATACTAAAATATCTTTTAGCAGGGGATGTAGCTCAGTTGCACCAGACCAGCCTGGCAAGTGTAAGGTCCTGAGTTTGATTCCCAGTACCAAAAAAGAAAAACTTTTCAGCAAAGTATGATGGTACATGCATGCAATCTCAGCCGCTCGGGAGCCTGAGGTAGAACTGCTGTGAGTTCAAGGCCCGCCTGAACTATATAGTGAGACCCTGTCTCCAAAAATAAAAAAATAAAATGTTTTTTCAGTGTGTTCTCATTTAAACATGCTCATGTGAAAGGATGACTCTTTGTTCTTCCCTACCCACATCCAAACTGTAGAAACAGAATATAAACAGATTCTAAAATAGGTACTTAGACCATTACCAGACTTAACTGCTACAATATGCACACAGCTTATTCTCAGCTTTAAAAAAATTAATTTATTTTTATTATACATGTGTGCAGTACATAATGATTACACTCATTGTGGTAAGTTGGGCCAGATGTGGAGGTACACACCTGCAATCCCAGCACTTAGGAGGCTGACACAGGAGGATCGCCATGAGTTTGAGGCCAGCCTAGGTTACATAGTGAGTTCAAGGCCAGCCTGAACTGCATAGTGAGACTTGTTTCTCCGACCCCCCCCTCCAAAAAAAAGAAAGAAATCATTGTGGAGAGTTGGTACATGTCCCTAACACCTCTTAATTCCTTTTACTTCCTCTTCCTCTTCCCCTTTCTCCTATTATCAACTTCTTTTTTTTTTTTTTTTTTGGTACTGGGGATCAAACTGGGGTCCTTGTGCTTGTGCAGCCCGCGGTGAAACCACTGAGCTAAATCCCTGGCCCTCCCCTATTATCAACTTCTTCTATTATCAACTTCTAAGCCTCAGTCTCCTCATCTGTAATAGGAGGGTGTTAATTTTTTTTTTTGGGGGGTAGCGGGGATCGAACTCAGGACCTTTCTCTTGTGAGGCAGGGAGAGGAACCACTGAACTAAATCCCCAGCATTATGGTGTTAATTTCTTTTTTCTTTTAAATTTTTTGTTTGTTTGTTTTGTTTTGGTGTTAATTTCTTACTCGAACAATTCAACAGGTACTCAGGTAATTGAGCTCCTTTCTTTTGAAACTTTTCTAAGTCTATGAGAGAATTAAAGAAGCAAGATTCATTCATATGAAGAAAAAAAGGCCAAGATAAAATTTCCATTCCTGAATTAACACCTAACTCAAGATCTACATCCCCCCCATGAAACCCAATGAACAGGCTCTTCCTCAAATGTCCTCCCCATGTTCTCCGAGTCTGTGTCCCCCTTCCCATGTAAATGATACTGACCAGCCAGAAGCAGAATCTGGGAATGGTGGCCGTCAGGACTATGCAGCTGGTCTCTGTGGTAACAGTGCCATCTGTAGGAAGACCAAAGACATGCTAGTTACTCCCTACCACCTCAACCTGCCTTGCAGGCTACCCAGACCAAAAGTGAGCTCTTATTAGTATAAAGAGTCTGATGTCCTGAGAAGATGAGAACTTACTCATCTCAGGACAGAGATACTAATGAGTGGATGGAGAAATGTTTCCTCATTAACTTGAGTATTTTTCAGAATGAGTGAAACACACATTTAAATGAAAAGTCCTATGGATCAGTCCTTTTATCTTTTAATTTTTATCAAGGTAGTATAGGTACTAGAGGTACACATATTAAAACCAAACAGACTATTATCAGGATCATCCTACCAGCACTGAATATTTTCATTGTGTAATTTTTTTTTTGAGACAGGGTCTCGCTATATAGTTTGGGCTGACCTTAAACTCAGTATGTAGCCTAGGGTGGCCTTGAACTTTCAGTGATCCTCTTAATTTAGCCTTCCAAGTGCTAGGATTACAGGTGTGCACCACCACGCTAGGCTCTATAATGTTTTTTTTTTAAGAACAGGAAACTTTATTGAGAGACATCTACAGCATTTTTTTGCTAACATAACAGGTTAAAAAAAAAAGGTACCAAATTATTTTTCCAAATTGCTTCCAAACTGATGACTATGATGCTGTACATCTTCACTCCTACATGAATCTCTTATTTTTTGTTTTCTGCTTCTATGAACAGGCTGTTCACTTTTTTTGTCCATTTTACCACTGGATGGCCTATTTCTCTTTTCTTTTTATCTCCTCAGTACTGGGGATTAAACCTAGGGCCTTGCACATGCTAAGCAAGCTGTACCTTTGAGCTATATCCTTAGCCTTGTATATCTTTGTCTGATTGATCTGCAAAAGCTCCTCATAAATTACAATATCTACTATTTGCTCATTATAAGTATTTGGCTTTAATTTGTTGTTAATTTTACCAAAATTAACAAACAAATTAATTTGCAAAAGTTTCCCAAAGACATACACTTACCCTTTTCTTTAACCAAGATCCGAGATGTCAAAAATGATTCTGAGAAGACCACAGATCCTAAGCATCCTCTTTCTCCCAGCAAGTCAGGAATGTCATAGACAGTCATACAAGCCTGTATCAAGTGAGAAAGAGAGTAAGACCAGTTGCCAGTTCCAAACCTTCAGTGACAGATCCAGTGGAAGCAGACCACAAAATGCTGCTTTAAAGCAAATGGCAAGAGAATACTGGAGAGTTTCTAAGGAAAACTGGAGATACTTTGAAATATACTCCTAAAGTGGGAGATGGCCTCAGGAACAGCCAGGCATCCCTGTAATTGCTTCTTGATCAGAGACACAACAGGATGGAAGAAAAGTATCTTTATATTTCCATAAATTCTCTCTCAAATTATTATCCTAAGAGGCAACTCAGCCTTCATTCTTAACTATGACTGGCTTCCAGCCTATTAGAGTTGAGGTGTTTCCTCTAGGTTTCTATATACATATACACCTCACATTCCACTCATATTATCATACTCTCACCAGCTCCTTTGGTTTAGTTCTGAGTTCTAAACAACCTTGGAAACTTGGTCATTCATTTAGTATGCAAGTTTTCATGGATATTTTCAGTACATGTCGATACTTGCACATGCTCCTTTATATATAGTAGTCCCTCTGTGACTGGTAATACTGATATGGCAACTTCATTGGATCAAGAAACACCTAGCAGATTAGTAAAGCACACTGCTGGCTGTGATCTGGGTAGGTCATGAGGTGTGGGCGTGGGTTCTATATATGGTCCCTTGAACATTTTTCTCTGGCACTGTTTCCCTGCTCTGCTTCCCAACTGCCATGAACTAACTAGCTTTGCTCCACCAAACCCTTCCACCATGATGTTTCTGTCTTGGAGCCTGCCGATCATATACTGTATCTCTTGAAACTGTGAGGTAAATTAAACCTTTCCACTTTTAAATTGTGGGTGTTGGGCATTTTGTGTGTCCAGCAACAGGAAAGCTGACTACTATAGAAAATTAGTATGTAGTAGCTGGACATAGTAAAAAATCCCAGCACTCATAAGGCCAAGGCAAGAGGCTCACCATAAGTTCAGGGCCAGTCTGGGCTATGTAGTGAGTTCAAAGCTAGCCCAAACTACATAATGAGACTGTCTGAAACAGACAAACAACAACAAAAAACCCAAAAAGTAACTTGATATATAGAGTGGAGGTACTTAACCTTGTGGTTTAGAAGCTTTAGGAGCTGGTTTGCTGGAGGAGTTTGGAAAGGTTTGGAGATGTGAGCTAGGGAAGACTCAGAATGCAGTTAGCAGAGTCTAATGGATGATTCTGGTCTGAGTTCAAAAGACCAGAAAGCCAAATGGAATGCAGACAGTGAAAGTGAGGCTCAGAAGGTTTCAGGTTGGAACAAGGACTCCACTAGCTTTTGGACTAGAGGCTGTGTGTGTTACACCTTGGCAGAAAATTTGTTTACATTTTATCCATGTCCTGAGACCCTGCAGGAGACAGATTAAAGGTGGTGAACTAATTTATCTGGTGGTGAAAATTTCAAGACAGCCCAACCTTTAGGCTGTGGTATGAGTACTACTGGCTGCTTTTAGTCAGACTTAAAAGTGAGAACTGGGGGCAAAAGACAGAGCAGAAAAATGAGAAAAACTTAAATTTTGGCCCAGAAGGAATCATGTGTAAAATTGGAACCAAAGAGTTGTAGCTGCTAAGAGATTAGTGCCATTAAAAAGAAATTGAGGGGGCCAGGGATTTAGCTCAGTGATTCTGGTACCAAACAAAACAAAAACAAAACAAAACAAAACAAAAAAGAAATTGAGTACAGGTATAGGAAGAAATATGCTTTGAAGATATCTCAGAAATCATCAAGATCCCAATTATTGCAAGTTCAGGCCTGTTCTCTTCTAGCCTGAGCACTGCTGAATAGTGGGATGCAGAGTTCCTCAAGCTAAGTCTATTTTCTCTTTTTATTGTTCTAGCATGGGATCCTTGTCCCCCCCACCCCGCGCCCCCAGGATAGAGATGAAAAACGTGGTGTACTTGAAGATAATGCTGGATTCTCAAATTAAAAAATAAATAAGGCAGATTAAAAAGGAAAAATATAGCTAAAGGTTAAGTCCTTGATTTTTCAAGGTGTCATGATAATAGAATGTACAAAGAAGTCAAAAGTAGGCTTTTATGCTTCAATCAATTTTCCAATTAGGCTTGACAAGTGCAAAGTTTATCTAAATCTGTCTCAATAGATTTGGAGCATCTGAAGTCACAAATCTTCCTGGGGCTACATGGCTCCTCTTAAATGACACGAGAATCATACTTCTTTAGTTCTCAGATTAATCAAGTAGATTCTATGGGTTCCTGACCTTTCACTTTCATATCTGGCCACCAGTATTGAGGAAGGGGAGAGAGGATACTGAAAAGAATATATTCCCAGCATTTTATGAGGTTGAGGTAGGAGGATCACAAGTTTAATCCCAGCCTGGGCAATAAACAACTTAGTGAGACTCTGTCTCAAAAACAAAAACAATAGGCTGGGGATTTAGCTCTGTGGTTCCAGCACCTTCCTCGAAAGCGCAAGGTCCCGAGTTCGATCTCCGGTACCAAAAAAAAAAAAAAAGAAAAAGGGAAAAACAAAACAAAACAAAAACAAAAACAATAAAATACGAAGCCTTTGTTGAATATTTGTATTTCCCATCATTAAATTAAATGATTCCCATCAAAAAATTAAATGACGCCTATCTTCAGGAAATCTGTAATATGTAGCCTAGGAGACAAGAGCTTATAGAAAGTCATCATATAACTTGTTAGGATAGAATTACTCCCTAATTTGTGTAGCACACATTGCAAGGGATATAAAAATACAGTACTTATAGGAAGAAATCAATAGGGAAGGCCCCATGGAAGAGATAGAACTTCATCTCTGCCTGGATAGGAGGGTAGGATTTGGTCAGAAAGCATTAACTTTCTGCCTATGCTTTCTGGTCCCTTGGTTCTTTCTCTCTTGACCTATTCTCCTTTGCTTTCCCACTGTCATGAACTAAGCAGCTTTGCTCTGCCATGCCCTTCTGCTATGACGTTTTTGCCTTGAGGCCAGCTGATCATGAACTGATTCTTGTGAAACCATGAGCAAAAATAAACCTCTCCTCCTATAAGTTGTGGATGTTAGGTATTTGTCCCAGCAACAAGAAAGCTGACTAATACATAACTTTTAAAAACTATTCTTGTACTGGGGCTGGGGCTTTAGCTCAGTGGCACCATGCCTGCCTCACAAGCGCAAGGTCCTCAATTTGATCCCTAGTACAAAAAAAAACAACACACAAAAAACAAAAAAACTATTCTTGTACTTTCCTTTGTAGATGAGATACCATTGACAGAAACTTTGCTTTTCCACTGGTGATGGTGATGCATTTGTGTAGACTCATCCATAGCTCCCCACTCAGTTCCCCATTACCAAAGTCTGCTGAAATTTTAGTATATGTGCTGCTGAAGCGAGCACCAAAGTCTGCTGAAATTGAGGCTCAGGCAGTGGTCACAGAAGAGACTGAAGATAAACTTGTGCACACACATACCACAACCAGAATGTGACTAGATATGCACCATCCTCTCATGTACTGCTTGCCACCTCTCTTCACATATGCAGCAGTAAATAGAGCACTTGGCTCATGGCTGCATCTGGCCTAGAAACTCTGGTTCACCTAGGCCATGCCATCCTACACCAGGGACCAATATCAGAGCATGTTCCTAAACCATTCCACTGGCCCAACAGTGTGGCTTTAGCACATGGGTCTGAAAGCTCTGCTCTGACTACTCCACTTCACTGGAACCCAGGTCTCTGTTGACTGTTACTTAATCAATCTTCCCAGGTCCCTGTAAGGGCATCAACACAGGTCTTTCTCTCTCTCTTTTTTTTTTGGTACTGGGGATCACACTCAGGACCCTGTGCTTGCCAGGCAGGCGTGGCACTACTGAGCTACATCCGTGCCCCCCGCCCCACCCCTTTTTAAAGATAGGGTCTTGCTATGTAGTTCAGGCTGGCCTTTAACTCACTATGTAGCCTAGGCTGGCTTTGAACTCCCAGCAATCCTCCTGCCTCAACCTCCTGAGTGCTGGAATTACAGATGTGTGCCACCACACCCAGCTCACACATGTCTTTGAATGCAAAGAAACTGAAAACTTGTTGGTCTATTGGGGAAGTCAAGCTTATCCTCAGCTCACATTTCCACACTAGGTCAGTGCAATCTTAGTTACTACTTCAACCCTTCCAGATGTCCCAATACAGCACATTCCCAGCCAGCTGGCTCATAACAGCTATGCTTACCGTTTTCACAAAGGATAAATTATCTTCATTATCCAGAGGCACAATTCTAGAAGAAGAAAGACATACATTAAAGAATTTTTAACTGTACTGAAATTTGCAATGTTCTCTTTTTAAAACTGGTAATGACAACTCACAACTTGAATTTCTCTCAGGGATTTAAAAAACACTAGGTTGGCTGCATGTAGAAACAGCACATAGGTCCCTGGAGTGAATTACATCCACCCCTGTCCCTGCCCTCAGCCTTGGGCAGGAGGTACTCAGGGTACAAAGGTTCAGTTGAACACTGCCAGCCCAAACTCAAGTCCAGGATGGTGCTGTGGCCAGAGGTGGAACTGTGAGATCAACAGCAGCAGTAGCTACCAAGCTGCTCTCTTCTCTTTACCCTCCCAACCTTGCCCCATGCAAGGAGGCCCTACAGCCACATACTTACCTTCCCTGATTATTCACAGCATGTATGTGAAAAGCCGTCTTGGAGCTACAGACCCAAAACAAAACAAAACAGAAGTCAAGTCTGTTTTTGCTTATTGGTTGGAATCCTCCCCAGACACTTGCTTCTGTAATCTGCTTGCCCTGGGTTCTCAAAGCCACCCATTGAGGTGTGTATCATCCTTGCTTTACAGATCTAACTTTGATTATTTATTTGTTTGGTACCAGTGATCGAATTTAGGACCTTGTACTTACAAGGCAGGAACGGTACCACTGAGCTAAATCCCTGGCCCTACCTTTGATAATTTAGATAACTGTCCTAGGGTCCCATGTTGGAAGCAGGTGTGGCATACTGGGGCGTCTGTGTCAGTTCCTAGGACTGCCCAGAGCAGAAAGAATGCCTACTGCAAACTGGGAGCGGCCTTCTATTGCCCAGGGCCTCCTGACCCACAACATCTACATACTGCCTTGACCGTCCTCCTCTTCACTGCTTTTGTGACAAGCAGCCAGGACTGCTCTGTGTCCAAGCAGAGGCCATGTCTCTGCTACTCACAGTTAATTTCTGCAGAGCTGCAGACAGAGTCAGGACCTCAGAGCTGAGAAATAACCAAAAACCCTTCTTCCTCTTTTAGTAAAAGAAAGTTTTAAAATTGTATAAGCTTAATTTCATGGCTTAAGAAATTATATTAACAGTAACTTCCTGTGTGCATTCATGGCTCCTTTCTCTTTCAGGAGCAGGTCTGCTAATGTGACGCAGTTTGAATCCTCAGTGAAATAACTCTTGTGGAGGGGATGGGGCTCTGTTGGAAGACTGGTCCTGGGAGACTCTCCTCCCATTGCTTGTTATTTTTCCCTTGTGTCTTCCTCCAGTTAGGGCCTAGGACCCAGGCTCAGGCCTAGAAACTCTGAGATTGAGAAATGGCCTGGCCAAGAGCCTGAGGAAGAGGAGAAGAATGATTGTATCAGAAGACCCCACTATACAATAGCAGCTAGGGTCCACATGCCCAATGACTTTGCAAGGTGAGGAGTTCAGAAGATAGATGTAAGCCAGGCATGGTGGTACACACCTATGATCCTAGCCACACCTGAGGAAAAAGGATCCATCTGGGGAAATGTTTTAAAAATAGCAAGACTGTTTCAAAAATAAATAAATAAATAAATAAATAAATAAGGGCTGGGGATGTAGCTTGGTCGTGGTACGTGGTAGAGCACCTACGTGGTAGAGCACCTGCCTAGTAAGTACAAGGCCTTGGGCTCAATTTCCAGTATTGGGGAAAACAAAAAACAAGCAAGCAAGCAAATAAGCAGATCCAGATAAATACAGAGTTACCTATTTTGCTTAAAGTGACACAGCTGGAAAGTGAAGGATCTTTCTCAGATAAATTCTGCCAAGGAAAGACAGTAAAAGGCCAGGCATGATGGCACATGCCTATAATCCCGGCACTAAGGGAGGATCGCAAGTACAAGTCCTGCCTGGGCAAGTTAGCAAAACCCTGTCTGAAAATAAAAAATAAAAAAGGCTCCATGGTAGAATGCCCCTGGGTTTGATCCAAAGTACTTCAAAATATATGTGAAAGGCAGTACAAGGCCTACAACATCAGGCTTCCTCTATCTATTCCCTTTGATGGTCAGAACAATAAAATCCAGAAGACTCAGGAGAAAGGAGACCCAAAACAAGAGAGCCCTATACCACAGAGTTCTGGCTCTTTCCTGCACTCCTGGAGCTCAGAAATAGCACACAATTCTTCCTGTTAGATCAACTGACTGACTTATTATCAAATGCTCCTTTTCTCATTACGCAGGGGGTAGATACAAGAAAATGTGAGGTGTGGACCGGAGGCACCACAGAACACAGTCCAGAAATAGTCTTAAGTAAACTCCCCAGTACTGATGTCTTTTGTATCTTTTGCACAAAAGTGCACAAAAATGGTCCTGTAGGATGGGAGATCTAAGTGGGCTGGGGTCATGAAAATGGAGCTACAGACAAAGACCACATAGAGATCCACTGGGACATGCTGGGAGACATGACAAAAGACTGCAAGCCAGACTCCCAGACATCTAGACCCTGAGGCCCAGGGGTGCAGGGAGTCTGTCACCTGACAGGTGGATGAGGCCCAGGGCAAGTGAGTACAATCTCTTGTAAGCAGTGATTATCTTCTTGTGTCCAGGTTCCCTTTCCCTAAGAAACCTACCTCTTAGGGTTCTTGCATCACCCTTCTAACTTTGGAACCAGGCCTGTCAGGTTTCTCATCATTCTGGTATCAGTCTGCCTCATATTCTAGCCTCAGAACATGTGTGTGACTCTCGGTCTTGAAGTTCCTCTCTTGGACTCCTCGGCTTCTCAAACAAAGGCCTAATTATGAATAATTCTCCTTCATACATCCCATTATTTTACCAGAACATTTCAAAGAGCAGACAGAACATAAACTATAAGGGACAAAAGAGATTTTTTTTTGGTACTGGGGATCGAACTCAGGACCTTGTGCTTGCGAGGCAGGCGGTGGAACCACTGAGCTAAATCCCCAGCCCGACAAAAGAGTTTTTTAAAACAACAAACATAAAAAAAATTCCTCATAAAAAGAACAGCCATTGCTTACCGTAGTGCTGCCTTAAACTGAACCAACTCAAAGGATTCTAATCCAGATCCCAGGGACTGCTCTGCTAATTCCTTTGCCTTTAAAACAAAAAAGAGACAATTAGCTTGTAGGCAGCAAAAAGTACCCATATCATTGATAGGAATGGCCCGGCTAATAATGCCTTCCCCCATGTGACTATTTTGCATACATCAAGAGATTAAAGTGGAAGCATCATGTTAAGGGAAACAGGTGCTGCTTTCTTCAGGCTGAGTTCACAGGAAAAACCTGCACTAAGGCAGGTGGGCACTTGCACCTGAACTGCCCAGGGATGTAAGCAGCTGGGGCAATGCCAATGGCATGTAATGTCTAGAAAAGTGCTTTCTCCTCCCCTCTCTCCTGGCTCCAGAGGTGGCTCTGCCCTCAATTTCTTCCAGATGCTAAGAATATAAGTAGCTAGAGTTACAGAAGATCAGTTAGAAATCAAAGGCGTTGAGAACTGATATTGAAGGAGGACCTGTGGCTGTGCACAGGCCTACTATGGTAGCAGCTAAAGGGCTGAGAAGTACCCCGTCAGTGCCAAGATTTGAGTTCAGTGAGGAGGGGAAATGGCTAGGAGCTGGTGATTAAGGCTACAGTCTCTCAGCTGTCTACATCATACACAAGCTTTCCAATGTCAACTGGCTTCCTTCAGGAAAGATCCTATTGGCATTGGGAGGCATCAAGCTGACTCTTCTCCTCTCCTTACTGGGTCAGATTTAGGAATCCAACTCAGCAGGGCAGGTTAACAGCAAAACAGCAAGGAAGAAAACGGTCAGAGAGCAAGAACACACTCCTTGTCTAAGAAAGGCAAGTCAGACTTTCTAGTCCACAGCTGATTTTTAAAATACTAAATTATAGGAAACCAAACTATGTAACTCAAAACAAACTTGCCTAACTTCACTAAAATTCACAGTGGAATGATCTATATTCTTTAACTCCCCCCACACACTCCGCCCCAGTACCAGGGATCAAACTCAGGACCTTGCACTTTCGAGGCAGGTGAAGTGCCACTGAGCTAAATCCCCAGCCCTTTCACTTTTTTCCCCCCCTGGTACCAGGGGATCAAACTTAGGACCCTGCACTTGCACAGCATTGCTGAGCTAAATTCCTGGCCCTTCTTCTTTAACTTCTAAAAGCATTTTTTAAAAAACTATTAACAAAACAATGTAGTACAAGAATAACTTTTTAAAAAAAACAAAACTGATGTCTACAAGGAAATATTGATTAGCTGTCCCTCTCAAAACATCAGCAGTATGGTCACAGACAGCCTGAGCATACACAAAAATGAGTATTGCAAGGGTCCAAAGAATAAACTAATGGATAGGATGCTTTACATTAAAATAATGAGAGAAAGAAAGAAAGAAACATGGTATTTAAATTACCTTTGTTAGACTGGAAGTTTTAGCATAACATGCAATGCCAGCCAAAACAGCCTCAATAACAGCAGCATATATCTGGGACAAGAGCCTACTTTAAAAACAAAAAATAATGGGTTAACTACTGTATTATGAGGTTTTGTCAAAAGCTGTAAGCATATACAGTCCTCAAGGAACTGATTTTTTGGTTGTTTCAAAAAAATTTTTTTTTGAGGTAGGGTCTTGCTGTGTAGTTCAGGCTGGTCTTGAACTCACTCTGTAGCCCAAGCTGGCCTCCAACTCACAGCAATCCTCCTACCTCATCCTCCTGAGTGCTAGGATTATAGGAATGTACCATCACGCCTGGCTGATTTTTTAACAGAATGAGAAAAGTGCAAAAAGAAAAGCATTGCAAAAAGAACTCTAAACCTTTTAAAAGTGACATGGTTGTTTGATTTATACTTTGCTCTGTTAAATCATCTTTTAAAAAGTCAGCTCCTCTGAATTCTGTTCAAAAGACCAATCCTCTCTATTTGTGACCAACAGAAAATAACTAGCAGGCTTCCTGATCCTTCTACACGCAGGAGCAGCTACCCATGGACCAAGACTCCCTTTAGTGTATTGATAAGAGATTTGCAGTTTTTCCAAGGCCTAACCAACAATACCACACCTTCACAGCATCTCACCAGACCTGCTGAAGGATGGCTGTTACTGGAACCTCAGAGGGCAAGAGAGATCACCTGACTGAGGAGGGGCTGGGTTCACTAAAAATCAGATTAAACAGCTTCAGGCTTCTCTTCATGCAGCCTGCCTCATCTAGAGAGCAGAGAATGCTTCTGAGGGATCTCTCACCTTCCCCAAAAATATTGCTCTTTCTCTTTGACGATTCACCTCCCAAAGTCACTTAAAAAAGGTTCTTGTTTGCTGGACTACAACTGCCAAGAAGGTCTCTAGAAAATCCAAGTCTGGTCTCCTTTGGGAAGGTTTCCCCAACCCTGGTATCTGGGGCTGGATCATTCTTCACTATGGGGTCTGTGTCTTCCTTGTGCATTTAGCATACTCCTTTAGCAGCATCCCTTACCTCTCTCTACTCTAGACTAGACATCAGGAGCAACCCTCCACTTGTGACAACCTGAAATGTCACTGTTTCTTGTCAGTTATGCTCAGGGCTGGGGAAGGTAAGGACAAGGTGGCAGATTTGTCCTTGGTTGAGAACCATTGCTTTAACAAAAGGAGACCCAGACTCTTCTCAGTCAAGAAACTTAGGGAGAGAAAAGGCTCATCTACGAGGCCCTGAAGGGTAAGGGATGCCCAGCAAGGAAATGACATAGCCTCATAAAGAATATGTTTATTTTAAGCCTGTGAGACTCTAGAAGAAGGTGATAGGAGTTTGAAAGTGGGCAGAAACACAAAAATGATCTGGTCTAATCCTCTCATCTTACAGAAGAAGCAGCAGGGCCTCTGGGGATGGAATAAGTTGTTGAGAACCACAGAAATTCCTGGAAGACCTAAACTCAGGTACACTGTCAGCCTGGTACCCTTCTGCTGTGCCACATCACACTGTCAGCAACTTCAATTCTTTGTAGGTTCCTGTACCACACATTCACTTTGTACATGAGAGATATGAATTGGGTTGAATAAGAAAAGGGAACAGAGTTCACATAACAAAATGAGAGCTCCATGGATCAACACATCCTAAAGATTGTTGGCCAGACCAGAGCAGGACATTGATAATAAGCTTCACCACTTTGGGTGAACCATAATAATCATTCTTTCACATTATAACACCAGAGTGAAGTTTTATAACAGCATATAAAGATATCCCCTACCTGGCTTGATTCAAACATCACTCAGTTCAACACTGTTCAGCATCACCCCTCCCTGACTTCTATTTAGAACCTCAGATTAGAGTCAATACACAGCCAATACTTGGCTACTGATCCATAAAGTGGCCTTGATGGTGCTTCTGTCATTAGGACTCCACAAAGCACAAGTTCCACTGACTCTGTTATTTGGTAAATCTCCTGACATGGGCCCAAGTAGCACTTAATATCAGTTCCTGGTGCAGGGCACCAATGGATTTGGTTTAGGTAAGATTTCTAAAGATCCAGAAACAGGACCTTGGGCAGTGGTTAAGCTCAGCTGGCATGGAAGCGCAAGCAGGCACAAAGCAAGACTACACGCACCAACATATGAGAAAATGGTTGAGTTGCTGCTAAAGTGAAGGAAACCTGCAAAAAACAAAAAACAAAACTATATATACATTAGATTACAGTTACATAAAACTTTAAAAAATAAAACTTTCAGCAAAATTTTTTTTTTTTTGGTACTAGGGATCAAACTCGGGTCCTTGTGAGGGAAGTGACAAAACCACTGAGCTAAATCCCCTGCCCTTCAGCATAATTTTTTAAAGCCCAGAAAGATACACTGTGTACAAGATACAAATGGATAATGCCAGAGAGGAAGAAGTATTATTTTCTTTTCTCTACCTCCATACTTTCTATAGTACTATGACTATAGTATTACTTGCATTACATTTTCTCCAGTACAACTTTGTGGCCCCTACCTTAGAAATCCTGTTTCAGTAGTTCTGGGATTGGGTCAGGGGAATATATATATATATATATATATATATATTGGTATTGGGGATCAAACTCGGGTCCTTGAGCTTGTGAGGCAGGCGGTGGAACCACTGAGCTAAATCCCCGGCCCAGGGGAATCTATATTTTGAAAAGATCCTTAGATAATTCTTTGTAGCCTGTCGCTGCTGGCCTTTCGGGAGCACTAGTCTGGATCTCACCAGTTTATGCTGGGGTGTCTAATTAGATAACAGAACTCTATTATGTCTATATTTCTAGAGGAGGATGCTTTTTGGAATTCAGTTTTTTCAGCATTAATGAATTTATTTCCTGTCTTTGGTTTCCTGCTGTAGGTAAAGGGAAAAATCCACTTAAGGTAGGACCTTTGTAAGGTTGCACAGCTGATTCAGACTGCAGCTCTGTTCCATAAGCTTGAGTGTCAAGTCCAGAGAAAACACTCCTGAGACCACATGGGGTTTCATAGATTTTCCCAGCAGATTTCGGAATGTTTTAAGAAAAATCCTCAATAAAAAATGTGCTATTGGGGTGGGGATTTAGCTCAGTGGTTCCACCGCCTGCCTTGCAAGCACAAGGACCAGAGTTGAATCCCTAGTTCCCCCCCAACCCCCAAAAAAGTGCTATGTAGAAAACATGAAGGGGAGCTTTGTCATATAAATCAGGGGTGGACAGATAGAAGTTTCTTGAGTTCTGGAGAGAGGAGCAGATAGCAAGCTGGCAGGGTCCTCTGGCCTAGATTTGAAACCAAAAGACAGGTGCTGGGGACCTGCTGGGTAACTACAGAGTGGTTTGCCTCATAATCAGAAGTCCTAATTACTGCTGATCTCAACAGGAAATAGGACAGCCACAACTGAGAGGCTCAACTCAGAGACAGAAAAATTAAATACAAAGACTTACATTTGTTCAGTTTTCTTGGGCAGCTTGTTATTCTTGGACAGTCTGTCATCATCACCTATGAAAGAGAACATGTATTAAGAATGTGATAAGGGCACAGGATATGCAAACAGTTCATAAAATGGCTAGAAGGGCTTAATTTAATTCAAAGACACTGTCAAGAATACCATTTTAAAAAAGTTAAATACAGTACAGCACAAATAACAGTGGAACCTGATTCCTTCTAGTAACCTCCTGGACCTCCACCTCTGACATTTTCCACTCAGCATCACCACTAAGCAACAAAGAAGATGGGCAGAATCAGCCTCTGGATTCAAAATTTTCTAAACTTTGAGGTATCAGAAAACAGGCTCAGTTCTGCCTCTTTATTTCCTTAATTATCTGATCCAAGTCATGCTCTTTCCTGAGTTACCTGGCTTATTTAACAACACCAAGGAGAAAACCCTGCTTCTGGGGTACCCCATTCTGCCAATACTGAGATCCACATTCATTCTAGAAGTTTCTCCCATATCTCTTGGGATGCCTGCAGCTGTATACCTGCAAGCAGGAAAGACCTGTTAGTCTTACCTTTTTGGATAGTGCCACAGCAAATTCCTAACTCCTAGGTAGCCTATCATAGCTTTTCTCACTTTCTTCACAAGAAAACTGTCAGGTAGGCCCCAGGCCAAGTCATCCAAACTTCCACTGTAGTCAACACCTCCTGGTATCTCAAACAAAGTCTTATTTATCTCAGCCTTTCTTGTGACAATGAGCACAGGACCTTACACTTGGACAGACCTCTAAGCCACAGGCTGAACTAATAGGTTTTCTCCAGAAATACATTCTGTAAGTAATGTATTAGATACATCAACTCTTCAAATGTTTTTTTTTTTTTTTCCTGGTACTGGGGATTGAACTCAGGACCTTGCACTTGCAAGACAGGCGGTGGCACCACTGAGCTAAATCCTCGGCCCTGGACACATCAACTCTTGATGCAAGAGTTGGAAGCCTTCAAATTGTTATGAGCGTCTGAACAAAGTAGTAAATTTTATGTTAATAAAATTTCATGGGAGAAGCCATTCATTAAGATGACATGTTAATTAATGAGATGAGAATTTATAGGGACTTACCTAAGTAAGGAACATGAGTAGCTCCAAAAAAGTATGTTCTTGAACATGCAAGAGGTCCCTTTGGTGAGATACACTGTGCTACCTTGATGTCAGAAAAAAATAAAAATAGAAAAAGAATAGGGACTTAGACACAAAGTATACTATACTATTAGAGAAACAAAAAGCACACAGTTAAAGGAAATATTTTATTTTACTAAAACTGATTTATTTTTTAAAGACATAAAAGACCACCCTTAATTTTGCTTTGTTCTTTCTTTTTTTGAGACAGAGTCTCACTATGTAGTCCAGGTTGACCTTGAACTCTCATGTAGCCCAGGCTGGCCTCAAACTTATAGCAATCCTCCTGATTCAGTCTCCCAAGTGCTGGGATTATAGATGTGCACCACACTTACCTATTTTTTTTTTCTAAATGTACATATTTCCAAAGGTATCCTTTGTATGTGTATTTGGTTTTGTTTGCAAACATTGGCTATATTGTAAGGTTGCTGTAGGGTATTTAGTCAAACCAGGATGCTAATGAATTCACAACTCAGAAGAAAAAAAAGAGACAATGTGTTTAAGTTTTGACACTCCTTAATATTTGGCCCAGAAAATAAGGACTAAAATGTATATTAGATATTGGGAAATGGGAAGAAAATATTCAAATGGGAATGGGAACAAGGGAGGAGGGAGGGAGAAAGGAAGAAAGGGACAAGAAAAAAAAGTGAAAATAGACGGAAAAAATGGAAGCAAAGCTTTTGTATACAGGGAGGGGAGGAGGCTTGTAGGGAGGAGGGAATGGGAAAAAAAGAGGCAAGATGTACCGTGTACAAGTGCAAATTCCCTATGATAAATGTTATCATTATGTATACCTAAAATGTACCAATAAATGTTTTGCTATAAAAAAATATTCAGCCCAGAGATTTCACAGTAAAGACCTTGGCCCACATGACAGGAAGAATTGTAGAGCAGCAACAAATTCAGGAAACTTGGGTCTCTACCTTCATTTGGATTTCATCTATCTAGCCCCACACCCACTTGTTAAGACAAGGTTTTGTTTTATAATTCAGGGTGATGGGCCGGGGATTTAGCTCAGTGGTTTCGCTGCCTGCTGCGCAAGGACCCGAGTTCGATCCCCAGTACCACCCTCCCTCAAAAAATAATTCAGGCTGACCTTGAATTCATTATGTAGCCCTGGCTGGCCTGGAATTCACAGTGATCCTCCAACCTCAGACTCCCGAGTGCCACCATGCCTGGCTGTACATAGCCCTTGAGAAAACAGGTTCCTCTAGGTTTTAAAATTTTTGTCTTCCTTGTTACGTTTTTCATTTATACAGAGATGGAAATGGATGTACATTATCTCATAAGGGTTCTAGTACAGCAGTTACAAAATGCAAAAATGCTAATGTGACAACTAAAGGAATAGAAAATAGTACAATATATAAACAATAGCTAAATGTTCACAAATATTCATTCCTTCTATTTCACTCAATTTAAGGAAGCCACACCAGAATACAGAGCATTTTCTGTAATACTGTGAATCCAAGTTACAGATATGAAATGAACACTTATTCTAACTATAATCCACTGTAGTAAGCATGATCAATAGTGCTATAATACGGAATGATAACTCAGGTATATATTCTTAATTGTTGGTTAATACATTTTATTATTTTGGGATATTTCCTCAATTAAAACATGTTCCTTGAATTTTCAAATTTTCCCTTACTAAAAGCTTTTTTTAGAGACAAGTGTGGTGGTGCATGCCTGGAATACCAGAATTCTGGAAGCTGAGGCAGGAAGACTGCTGCTAGTTCAAGGCCAGCCTGAGCTCCACAGTAAGTTCAAAGTCAGCCTGAACTTGAGACCCTGTCTCAAAAAACAAACAGGGAGGGCGATTTAGCTCAGTGGTGCCACTGCCTGAGTTCGATCCTGTACCAAACAAACAAACAAACAAACACACAAAAAAAAGGCATTTTAAAAAGGCTTCTTATATTATTCACCTACTTCCATGTTGCCTACTTTTTTTTCATTAGATCCCTTAACATATTAAACATAGGGGTAGATTACAGGGACATAAAAAACCCAGGGCAAATGCTTATCTGTGGCCGATGATTGTAACATCATCACATGTTTGTCTTGTATCATGTGCTTGAAAACAATGTAGCCTACTGTAGCCTTATGAAACTGTTACTCATGCTTAAGAAATGTCAAAATGACCTTGTCTCCTTTCCAGAAATAAAGGCTAAGACGCTGATTGGTCTAGCCCATACCAATCAATAAAACAGTTTGCCCCTGTAAGTATGGACACATCTCTTGCCTGGCATCCAAGTGGGATGCCTCCATCTTGTAGCACTACTCTGCTGCTAAGATGGCTGTTCTGTTTTCTCTGCATTTGCCACACTTTAAATAAACTTTTGCTTTGTACTATATCAGTCTTGACACTCCCATTTTCTGCTAAGAGTCCCACTTCTTCATTCTTTGCTGGAGGGCAAGGACCCAAAGAAAGATGAAAGGTCATTATGTGGGACTCCCAGCCCCTCACTCAGAGACTCCCCTATCACTTATTTTACCTATTTATCTTATTTACTTATTTAGGTGGGGTTTTTTTTGAGTCAGGGTCTCTCTACGTAGTTCAGGGTAGCCTTGAACTCATGGCAATCCTCCTACCTCAGTCTCCCAAGTGCTGAGATTATAGACATGCACCACCATGCCTGGCTATACATAGTTATTTTAAATACTCCATAGGGCTAAGACTATGCTCAATGGTAGAGCACTGACCTAGCCTGCTTAATAAAGCCCTGGAAGGCCGGGGATTTAGCTCAGTGGTTCCACCGCCTGCCCTGCAAGTGCAAGGACCTGAGTCTGATCCCCGGTACCAAAAAAAAAAAAAAAAGCCCTGGGTTTGAGCCCCAGTACCCCCAAAGAAGAATATAAATAAATAAATAATCTGCCTGAAAATTCTAAAAATGAATCCTATTTGAGTCTGGTTCTGATGGTTGTATTCTCTTTTGCTGTCTTGTTTTTCAGACAGGGTCTTGCTATGTAGTTCAGACTGGCCTTGAACTTGGGGCGATTCTCCTGACTCAGCCTCCCAAGTGCTGGGATCACAGTCCGCTGTGTTCTCTTTTCACACATGCTTTTTCTTGCCTTTTAGCATGCCTTGTAATTTTTTTTGGAAGCCAGATATAAATGTATCAGGTAATATGAACTGAGGTAAATAGGACTTGCATGTTAGATTTGATGTTAATCTGGATGGGAGTTGGGTTCTGTTTAATGTTCTCTATAGCTGTAGCTAAAAGTGCCAGTGGCTTTACATTCTTGTAGTACATACTAATGTCTGTTTGTTTTTGATACAGGATCCTGGGTTTAAGACTGGCCTTGAAATTGTTTGGTAGCCTATGTTGGTCTTGAACTCAAGATCCTCCTGCCTCAGCTTTCCAAATGCTGGGGTAATAGGCCTAAGCCACCAGGCCTGGCTTCCTGTAGTATTCTTTTTGTTTGTTTTTTGGTACCAGGGATCGAACTCGGACCTTTCGGTTGTGAGGGCAGGCCCCAGAACCACTGAGCTAAATCCCCAACCCTCCTGTCGTATTCTTATGCAATACTTCCCACCCTCATACAGTCCATGCCTTGCAGCTCTTTCAGTAGCAATTACCTGTCACTATACTGCAGAACTGTTGGGGTGGTGCTGAGGTACTTGGGGAGTTAGTCTATTAGTGGGTCTGTGTTTCTGGTCTACGATCTTCCCAAGTGAAAGGGCACTGATTTTCAGTTTATTTAACCCTTTTTCTTTTAAGTACAGGGACAATTTCCCAAGTCTTTTATATGTCAGAACTGACAAGAGAAGTCTCCTATGAAGGTTTCCTCTGACACCACTTCAGTGGGTGAGCAGGAGAACTTACCACTTCATCACCGCCAGGCAGGAGTGAAGTCCAGGTTCTCACTGAGCTGCTATTGCATGTATGTGTGGGTGGGGGCAGTGGGAGTTCAGATTCCCCAGATGCCTTAGCTGATACCCCACTGGCTTGGGAGGATGATAATCACTGTGAGTAAGGAGAAGGCCTTGTTTTGTTTTCACCTTTTACAGTCCTAGGAATTGAAAACAGGGCTTTCATGCTGAGCTAAGTTCCAACCTCTTTTTATTTTGAGACAGGGTCTCACTAGGTTGGAGGTGGCATGTTACTGCTCAGTGGTGGTGTGGGCCTCCTGTGACATTGAACCCAAGGACAGGCCCCTTGTTACTGTGGGTAGGACAACAGCCAGGCTCCCCACTGAGCCTCCTTTGATACCATCCTGAGGAGAATGAGGGAGGGTATACCTCAATTCCAGTCTGGCAAGGGTGGATGTCTTTTCTGTTTTTTATTTTTTTGGTACCAGGGATTGAACTTGGGACCTTGCACTTGTGAGGGAGGTGCCAGAACCACTGAGCTAAACCCCCGGCCTGGGGTGGATGTCTAGACTCTTCACTCACCCCATGGGTAGGGCAAGAGCAGGAGGCAGTTTTTCTGTGGGGTTTGCATATAGCAGTTGTCTAAAAGCTTTCTGTCCTTTTTTTTTTGTTCTGGAGACAGGGTCTTGCTATGTAGCCCAGGGTGTCCTTGAACTCACAGCAATCCTCCTGCCTCAGCCTCCTGAGTGCTGGGATTATAGGTGTGCGCCACCACACCTGGCAAAGCTTTCTGTCTTTCAAGGCTGCACCTTTCCTGGGACTCTGAATATTTCAATATTCTCCAGTATCCAGTTTGGATATAAGGGAAAAAGAAACCCCAGAGAAATCATCTACATCTTCTTTCTTTGGTCCTGACCAGTCTGCTTCCTACTCTCCACCTTTCAGAGTCTGTTTGTATTTGTTTTATATGAAATGTGCAGTTTTCTTAAACATGTGCAGTCAACTTGTAAAATTATAGAGAGAATCCTGCTCCATCTAGCATTTTCTATGTATTCTAAGAGTGTTTGGGTGACTAAAATGGGGTTTGAGCCCTCCATTTGCAGAACAGCAAGATCCTGACAGCACATACATTCTGGGAGCCCTATATCCTGGGCTGCCTTGAAGGTAGATCTGGGTTAACAGCCCAGAAAGACTAAACTACACCTGCTTAGGTCTTACTTATGTTCTCCAAAACCAAATGAGAGATAATAGTACCTACCACCCCAGCTTTCCTTATTGTCAGGAACATTTTGAAAACACATTAAATTAAAGATAACATAAACTTTTATAATCATTAGAATCCTATATGCAGGTTTAAGGTTTCCTTTAAAGAATGTGAAAGACAGCTGGGTGTGGTGAGTGGTGCATACCTATAACCCAGAACTCCAGAGGCTGAGGTAAAAGAATCTCTGGGCCAGCCTAAGCTACATAGCGAAAGGCCAGCCTGAACTACACAGTGAGACTCTGTCTCAGAAAAAAAAAAAGAAAAGAAATGAAAAGGAAAGAAAAGAAAAGAAAAAAGAAAAAGAAAAGAAAGGAAATGTAAAAGACAATATAATCAAAGCAAAGATCTTCCTGCTGGCACACTCAATAAAAGAATAATGATCATCAAGGTTTACATCCTTAAATGTAACAGGACACAATAAAATTAGGCTTAAAATTACTATGTAAAAGTATGCTTTAAACCTTTTTTATTTCTAAATTAAATGTTTTCAAATCATACCCAGTACTTTTAAAAAATATAGTCAGTTTCTAATAATTTCTTTTTACTCCAATACAACTTCACATTCAGGGTTAAATCAAAATACTAAGTGGAAAAGGTTCCTTTTGCCTAGAAGCCCTTTCCCCCAGTTTGGTAATAAAGCTAATTAAACAACAGGCAGTCAAGCCACTCACCATGTGTTTGGCAAAGCTCCCACCAGGACCAGTGCTGCGTACCAGATGACCTTCAGAAGGGAAGTTAAAGTTGCCAGCATTCAGGTTTTCTCGCGTGGAGTGATTACCAAAGAGAACAAATGGCTGCCTATTAGGGCTAGAACAGCAAATCAAAAAAACACATGATTAGAAGAGAGACCAAGCCAGGGCAACTTCATCAGACCTGAGTGAATTCCAGGGGTTTTCTGATTGATGTCCTGTAGCGTGAGCAAGGTAGTCTATCTAAAGTTCCTGGTGGGTTGGGAAAAGATTACATCTCTCTGCCTCTTCCTAGTGACCCATAGGGATCAGTCATTTTGGGACATAACTGTACCCATGCTAGGTTTATATTTTCAGCTTGTCCTCCTTTTTGAGAAATCAGTCCCATAAATTTGCTGTCCATGATGCAGTGATGGAGCAAAACCCTAGTTTAAACACAGCATTTAAAAAAATATATAGCATTTTAATAGGAACATAGGTTTTAAAGTATGATAGTAATTGCAATACACACACTAGAAAGACAATAGCAGTAACCAGTTCCTAAGTAACCTCCAGGAGGGAGGAGAGGAGGGTTGCACATGGTCTCATTACCACCCCTGTGAGCCTGGTTCCATCACATGTCCCCTTCTTCCCCTTTCTTGGTTGGACTCCACCCTCTTCCCATTTTCTGCTTACAGCTCAGCCCACTCTGATCAACCTTCCTCAGTCATTTCATTTATAGAGCTCTGGCAAAAGTCACCAAGTGAATGCAGTGGACTTCTGCTTCCTCACCCTTTCAAACCGATAAACCTCTTGAAAATCTTTCTAATTTATCCATTTCTCTCCAACCATGTTGTCACAATCCAAGTTTGTACCGTCATCATTTCCTCCCTGAACAAATACAAGATTTTCTGTTTTCCTGGATCCACTCAATCTTTATAATGTATTTTCCAAAAGTAATGATAATTTTTTAAACATGCAAAGCATTTACTGCCAGTATACTATTCTCAGGAGAAGGACCTTGCACATGGTCAACAAGAACCTGTATGCTGGGGATGTGGCTCAGTGGTAGAGCACTTGTCCAAGAACCTGTGTGGTCTGCTTTCAACTTTCTCAGCTCCATGGAAGGTCACTCTTGCCCCAGCCAAGCTCATCTTCTTTTATATCCCTTATGTTCTCATCTTAGGAACTCTGCTGTTCTCCTTTCTCTTAATTATCTCTACTCACTGTTCATGTCGAGAGGAGGCCAGGCTCTCTAGTTTTCATAGTACCACATGTTCTTTTCTCTTTCAAGGCTAAGATTTTGTAATGATTTCTCTCTCTCTCTCTCTCTCTCTCTCAGAAGGAAAAACCCTGCTAAGCTTTATTCAGGTAGTGAGGGCTACATCCTACCTGCCCCACCCTTGCAGTCCCCTTCCCCTCCAGTCTCACTTCTTGTCCTCCTCTTTCTCCTTTTTGCCATCCTTGGTGGCCTGGGAGGCGAGGGAGCCCATGGCGTTTTAGATGGCTTCATTGTCAGGATCTACTCTGGGAAGGTTCTCCAGAACACTCTGAAGGAACTTGGGGTCCTGCATCACGTTGTAATCATCCTCCTCCTTGGCTGGCTTGGGGGTGTCCATGACTGAGCTAGGGGGTACCCACGACTGACCTACTGGGACATCTGCATGGCATAAGCGATCTGCTCTTCCTCGGTCATGCTGCTTAGGTCAGGAAGCCCAGTTCAGCCAAACCCTGCTGACTGATGGTCATTTTCAGCAGGGTGTAGTCTGAGTCTTTGGTCCCAGCAATATCAGCCTCGGCTGCAGAGGCTGTGGCTGGCCGCCAGGCCTCCTCCTCCTCCTGCCACTGCCACTGCTCTTCCATAAAACACGAAAGGCCAGGGCCAGCTCAGGATCAGCACTGGGATCCACTCCAAATTCAAAGTCACTGGCACCAAGCCCCAGCATGGGACCACCTTTGCCAGCCAGAATGGGAGAACTGATGAGTGCATGAGCCAAGCTGGTCCCAGGAGGCACTGTCACCAGATGAGAGCTGGGGCCATCTTTGCCATACAGAGTATTTAACACAGGCCGTTAGCTTCTCTGTGTTCACCTCCTATTCCCCCAAATTGATAATGTCTACATTCACTTCTTCTTTCTTAGGGCATTTAGCCAGTTTCGCCACATCCTTCTCATTGTTCTCCACGGGGCTTCCCACAAAGGCAATGATGCCCCTCTTGTGGTTCTTGCCCTGCCTGTGGTTCAGAGCCAGGAGGGACATATGGATAAGAGTGCAGAAGGTGATCTTGCCCTTGGGTTGGACAGTGTGGAGCTTGGAGAGGATATGGCCAGTGTAAAGGGTGAGTCATTGGCCAGTGTGATGAGGCCCATGTTGTTCTCAGAGTTGCTGTGGGTCTTTGAGTGACACACTATGTTGACAGCATCCTGCTGGGCCTGCAGCCAAGTGGGCAGGAAGTTGCCATACTCACTGTTGTCCACACAAACCATTTGAGAACTTTTGCTTTTTTTTTTTTTTTTTGGTACTGGGGATTGAACTCAGGACCTCATGCTTGCCAGGCAGGCGCTGTGCCACTGAGCTACATCCCCAGCTGTCCACACAAACCAGAGTGCTTTCCAACACCATCTTGCTGCCTTCCTCCCTATGATTTCTCTTTTTTTTCAGTATTATTGTTCCCTTTTTTTTATTACTATATGTTTGCAGTACATAATGTTACATTCCTGTGGGGAGTTGGTACATGTACACAACATACCTTTATTCTTTTTATGTCCTCTTCCCTTTCCCTCTCTAATCTCCTGCTCCTCTCTACAAATATATTTCTCTGTGAGGTTAATTTCTTACTGCTCCACCACACTATAAATTCCATGAGTGCGGAGACTACATTTGTTGTTTATTTTTAACCATGTAGCTCTCTTCCTTGGTATGTCATAGGTTCTCAGTAAATATTCAATGATAGAAAGGATATTTTAAATAATTAATTTTTTTGAGACAGGGTCTCATTATACAGTTCAATCTGCCCTTGGCAACTCATCGTGTAGCCCAGGCTGGACTCAAACTCGTGGCGATCCTCCTGAGTGCTGGGATTACAGACATTTGAAACCATGCCATGCTCAGAAAGAATATTCTGTTTTCTTTTCTTTTTTTTTTTGGTACCAGGATCGAACTTAGGACCTTGTGCTTGCCAGGCAGGTGCGGCACCACTGAGCTACATCCCCAGCCCAGAAAGGATATTTTAAAATATTGTTTCTATTATCCTTTCCTTAAACTGTTCTTAATGTACATCATGTAGAAAATTTTTTGCATTTCACTTCATTCCTCTTAAAAATATACTTAAGCTTCAGGAAAATGTTAAGACTAAACATGACCGCTGGGCATGATGGCACATGCCCGTAATCCCAGCACTCGGGCTGAAGCAGGATGATCACTGCAAGTTCAAGGCCAGCTTGTGCTACATAGTAAGTTCAAGGCCAGCATGAACTACACAGCAAGACACTGTCTCAAAAAAAAAAAAAGAAAAGAAAAGAAAAAAAAGTGATTGACTTTTCTTCTGGAAATCAAGCAAGCTAAGTAGTGCTTTGGGCAGAAAAACCGTAAGTCTAAGTCCTACCATGGTAGTTTACCTCATTATTATTAGATTGGACTAGTGTTGTGGGAAAAAAGGAAGAGCCATCTCCTTTTACATCAGAAGAAGCACCTCCTGCTGATTGTGATGAAAATACAGAAGGAACCACTTTTGAAGTCTTTCCTCCTCCTCCTCTTCTCCTATCCTTCTCTCTCCTCCCCCCCACCCCTTTTTTTTTTGGACTGGGTCTTGCTATGGAGTTCAGACTGGCCTTGGACTCACTATATAGCTCAGGCTGGCTGAGAACTCCCTATGATCTTCCTGCCTTAGCCACCCAAGTGTTGGGGTTACAGGTGTGTGCCACCATGCCCAACATGATATACAGTATATTAACTATTTTTATACTCTTACATTTTTTTGGTACTGGGGATCAAACTCGGGACCTTGCACTTGTGAGGCAGAGAGTGGAACCACTGAGCTAAATCCCTGGTGTTATCATTTTGTTAAGAAATTTTGTTGGCCCGGGGATTTAGCTCAGTGGTTCCAGTGCCTGCCTCGCAAGCGCAAGGTCCCAAGTTCAATCCCTGGCACAAAAAAAAAAAAAAAAAAAAGAAATTTTGTTTTATTTTTTTCACTTAAAAAAAACCAAGTACACTAATATAAGCTTTCAGGAAATCAAAGAAGTAATTCTCATCTTTTTGGATGCATAGTGTTAGGCTAAATATTAATCCTGGCAAGAGATTTATTTACTATTTTGAGACAGGGTCTTGCTATATAGCTGAGGGTGGCCTTGAACTTACTGTGCAGTCCAGGCTGGCCTCGAACTGGTAGTGATCCTCCTGTTTCAGCCTCCCGAGTAATGAGATTACAGGTGTGGGATACCACACTTGGTGCTATTTCCATTTTCTTTGGGAGGCTGGGCCTTTAACCCTCTTACTCCCCCACAAACTTCTGCTGCTCCCCTGCCCAGCTTTGGATATGTTTCCTCTTGCTTTCCTGAGCTGAGGATGGAATGAATATTCCTTTCTTTAGATTTTGGTAAGCAAGAATGTTTTAAAATCCACTTCACTATAAAACTACAGAAAAATAAAACAAATACATAAATACAAAAGCAGTGAAAACAAATTTACGGAGTACGGAGCTTTTACCCTTTGAGCACTGAAGTCTGTCCATACTCTTGACTCAAGCATCTGAACTTGGATGCCCCCCTGTAGCCACCCCTTTCACTCTTCCTCCCTAGGAACCTTACCTGTTTTCAGTTATATGGCTGGAGATCATTCCATGACTGAAGTAACTTCTGAATGGCTAAAAAGAAGCCAACACTGTATATGAGATCACAATTTTGTAAAATAATCACAAAACCCCTCACATACATGTATCCCACGTGTCAAGGAAATGTGTTACATGTTCATGGGTGCCTATGAAAGAGGTGGGGAGAAGAGAGGTTTCTATGTGTGGTAGACAGCAACATGAATTTTGGGGCCAGGTAGCAAGCAGACAAAATATTAGAAAGGGAAAAAAGTGCTGTAAAAAGAAAAAAAATAAAGCAAAATTCTTTTCAAATTTATAGTTTTTAACTACTGAAAGAAAACTGGACCAACTACTACCAATGGTCCAAATTGTTATTTCTATGGAGATCTTATTTTTCTTCTATTTAAATGTTTTTTCTACATTTCCAATAAATGATTATATTAATTAAAATATGCTAATTTAAAATGAGTAACAAGAGAGAATCGAAGGAATGTAGTACACTGACTTGAGCTATTATGTTTCTTTTTAGTAAGAAAGAGTCTTTTTGTCTATGTCTTATGCTCTGAGTAACTACTTTTAAAATTATGATACACAATGTATTTTTTTTCCTTTGAGACAGGGTCTCACTATGCAGTTCAGGCTGGTTTTGAACTCACCATGTAGCTGAGATTACCCTTAAAGTCGCAGTGATCCTCCTGCCTCAGCCTCCTGAGTGCTGGAATTATAGGCTTATGCCACTATGCCTGGCATGATACACAATGTATTAACTACTGTAATTCTCTCTCTCTCTGTTTTTTTTTTTTGTACTAGGGATTGAACTCGGGACCCTGCGCTTGTGAGGCAGGTGGCAGCACCACTGGGCTAAATCCCTGGCCCCCTCTTTGTTGTTTTTTTTTTTGAGACAAGATCTTGCTATGCACTTCAGGCTAGTCTTGAATTCACTATGAAACCCAGGCTGGCCTCGAATTTGTGGCGATCCTTCTGCCAAGTGCTGCGATCATAGGCATGCGCCACTACACCCAGTCTTCCTATTATTTTGTTATGAAATTTTGTTTTATTTTTTCATTAAAAAAAAAGTACATTGACATAAATTCAGGAAACCAAAGTCATTCTGACCTTTTGGATGTACAGTGTTAGGTTAAACATTAATCAAAAATTAACATGCAGATTTTAGTGCTCAAAGTTTACAAAATTTCAAAAAGGCAATTTTATTCTCCCTAACAAACACCTATTGTATTTTTTCCAATTATTTAACTAATATATGTTCTTAGTAGAATACAACAAAACCCATCAATAATCCGTAAGAACTGTTAAACATTTTGGTACATTTCTTCAATCTTTTTTCTAAGGTACATCTATAGACTACATATGATAGTTGACTAACATAAATAGTTCTCTGTTCTTGGAGATTTATACATTACTAACTTGTCTATATCAAGAATAATACTGTAATGAGCCAGGTGTGGTGGCACATGTCTGTAATCCCAGCAGCACTCAGGAGGCTGAGGCAGGAGGGTCACCTTGGGTTCAAGGCCAGCTTGGGCTACATAGTGAGTTCGAGGCCAGCCTGGACATGGTAAGACCCTATCAAAAAGAAGAAGAAAAAAAGAATAATATCATAATGAACAACTTTCAATAAATTTTATCTGCAGAGCCAGTCATGGTAGTGTATGCCTGCAATCCCAGCACTTGGGAGGCAGAGGTACAAGGATTGCCCCAAATTCGAGGCTAGCCTGGGCTATATAGTGAGTTCAAGGTCGGCCTCCCCTACAAAGTGAGACTCTGTCTCATAAACCACAACAAAATAAATTTAAAAAAAATTTTCTGCAGCTATAATTATTTCCCAAAGCAGCTCTGGAAATAAAATTATAGAACATAAAGAGAAAACTATATTGCCAAGTTGTTTTTTTTTTTGGTACCGGGGATCGAACTTAGGTCCTTGTGCTTGCACAGCAAGTGGCAAAGCCACTGAGCTAAATCCCTGGCCCGCCAAGTTGTTTTTCAAAACAGTTTTATCAATGTACATGCTTACTTGCAAGTGAGTGTACTTACCTCTGGTCTTATTACCAACACTGCTATGAATGGTTTAAGTAGATTTGCCAAGTTGGTCAATGAAAAATGGTACCTCACTCTTATTTTATAACCTTTTACTTTTTATTATTATTATTTATTTATTTATTTTTTGGTACCGGGGATCAAACTCGGGACCTTGCGCTCATGAAGCAGGCACCAGAACCAAGCAAGAGCTAAATCCTGGGCCCAACGTTTTACTTTTTAACACAGAATATTTTATATGTGTTTAGTAGCCATCTGAACTTTTTTCCTTGTTAGTTATATGTTTTTCATTTCTCTATTTATCAATTAGCATTTTGGTGTTTATTTTACTGATCAGTAAAATCTCTTTTAGGGTAAAATAATAATAACTACAATTGGACTGGGGATGTAGTTCAGTGGCATTGAGCCTGCCTGCAAGTGCAAGGTCCTGAGTTCAACTCGTAGTACCAAAACCAAAATGAAACAAACAAACAAAAACCACTATAATTTACTGCGGGCTTATCATGTAACTATGAAAGGCACTGAAATGAATCATGTCAAGTAATCCTAATAACAGCCTAAGAGGTTCATGCTATTACTGTCCCCTATGTACAGATGAACTGGCTAAGAGACAAAAGTTGGCGAAGGTCACAGACCTAGTGAATTGCACAGCTGGGATTCAAACTGGTTAATCACTTGGGAAAAAAAAAATCCATAAAATTAGATCTATCTCTCACATCACACAAACAAAACTTCTATGTGGATTAAGAATCTAAATATAAAAATTTAAACCACGCAAATACCAGAGGGTAGATATTCTTTTTTATGTGGTTCTGGGGATCACACCCAGTGCCCTGTGCATACTAGCTAGGCAAGCACTCTACCACTGAATTATTCTTTAACCTTCAATCAAAGCCTTTCTCTGCACAATAACTTGAAATACACAGATCATTTATATAAAAATAAAAGTTTCCATGGCAAAAGAAATAATAAGTAAAGTATCAAGGATACATATGGTAAAATATGGAAGAAATATTTGGAAAATACATATAAAGAACTCTAAAACTAAGGGACAGAAGACCTCCTAAAAAAACCTATGCTTGGGTTGGAGATGTACCTCAGGTGTAGAGTGCTGACCTAACATGCATGAGGCCCTGGGTTTCATTCCCAGTGCACACACACAAAAAGACATAAAAACAAAATATAAAATGATACTCAAACATCTGAAAGAACATTATGAAAGAAACATATGAAAGACTTGCTCATAATTAGAGAAAGGTAAATTAAAACAATACTGAGATACCATTTCCCATCTATAAGACTGTAAAATCTTTCATAGTATGACAACATATTCTGTGAGAGTTTGGAGCAATGGGAACTCTCATACATTCCCATTGTTGGTGGGAATGCAAATTGGGATGGTACACCCCTAGGGAGAATCTGGCAACAGCTAACACAACTACATATGCGCTTACCTTTAGACCCAGTTATCCCATTACTAGGCATGCATCCCTCTAATGATATGAAAATACGTAAGCAAAGTTATTTACTGTGACACTATTTGGAATGGTAAAATATTGAAAACAACCTACACATGCATACATAAGAGAGTACCTGAATAAATTAAGACAAATCCACACAATGGAGTATTACAAAGTGTAACAAATGAGGAAATTTTCAGAGGGGATGCAGCTCAGTGGTAAAGTACTTGCCTAGGATACCCTCAAGACCCTAGGTTTGATCCCTACCATCAGGGGTTAAAAAAAAAATCAGAAAATTTCAATGAAGTAATTTGGAGAAAGTTCTAGGATTTATTGTTGAGTGAAAAGAGCAAAATGGAAATAACTCTGTGATACTCTTCAATGCAACAAAAAAGAGGATATCAGAAAATATACATGTATCTGTCATTTGTCCAAATCACACAGAACAGATAAATCAGAAACTCTTTTTCAATATCTTTCACTCTTTGAACCATAGTAATGACAGAGATGGGAAAAAAATTTTAAAAACTGGAAAAGGCAGCAAGGAGAAAAGAGACAACTTGAAGTAGTCTATTTTAGGGGTAATTGGAGTCCCTGAAGGAAAGAAGAGAGCTTTGGAACAGAAAAAATATTTGAACAAATAATGGACAAAAACTTTGCAAGCTTGACAAAAACTGAGAAGCTCAACCACAACATACATGAAGAAAACTACAGCAAAATGGTTAACCAAATTGCTCAAACCAGTAATAACGAGAACATCTTGAGCTGGGAGTGGTGGCGCATGCCTGTGATCCCAGCACTCAGGAGGATCACTGTAAATTCGAGGCCAGCTTGGGCTACATAGTGAGTTCAGGGCCAGCCTGAACTACAAAGGGAGACCCTGCCTCAAAAAACCAAAACCAACCAACCAAACGGAGAAAATCTTAAAGCCTCCAGAGGGAAAATAAAGACCTGCTACGTGCAGAGGATCAAAGATTAGGATGAAACACTTCTCACCAGAAACAATGTGCATGAGAATACAGTGGAGCAACATCTTTCAAGCACCAAATGGTGAAGACTGTCAGCCTAAACTTCACATGTGGCAAAATATCTTTTAAAACGAAGGTGAGCCAGGGGTGTAGGGATGTGCCTGTGATAGCAGCACTTGGGAGGCTAAGGCAGGAAGACTGCTGCGAGTTCAAGACCAGCTTGACCAGTCTGAACTACACAGAAAGACCCTGTCTCAAAAAAAAAGGAAAAAAAAAGTGAAATACTTTTTTCTTTCTGGTACCAGAAATTGAACTCAGGACCTTGCACTTGCGGCAGGTGCAGCGCCACTGAGGTAAATCCCCAGCTCTGAAACATTTTTTTCAGACATACAAAAGCTGACAGTTCATTATCAGAAGATATGAACCACCAGAAATGTTAAAGGACATCCTTCTGAGAGCAGGATACCAAGTAGAAATCTGGGTCTATGCAAAGGAATGAAGAGCACCAGAGAAAGTAATTACATAGGCAAATATAAAACATCTTTATCTCACTGATTAAATTTTTAAACAGATAACTGATTGTTCAAATGCACGACAAGATCAACGCCAGCTCCAAATGATGAAGAAGACTTGTCCTGGGGATTTAGCTCAGTGGCACCGTGCCTGCCTCACAAGTGCAAGGCCCTGAGTTCAATCCCCAGTACCAAAAAAAAAGAAGACTTGTTCTGGGCTACTGCAGTGCACTGGAGAAGGGACTGGCAGTGCAAGCCAAAGGAAGACTTAGGGCAATGCAAGACAGTCCTTCTGATCCTTCCTGTGGACTAGTTTCTGTGACTGCCCTTGGTTCCCTATCTAACTACTTTAGTGCACTCATGGAGAGGTCTTAGCCTGAACCTAGTAATGGCTCACTATCAGTTTGCTTGGAAAGGTAGCTCCACATTCATGACCTGGAGGTTCAGCAAACAAAGGTGTATTATTCACACATGGAGAATTAGTAACTAGTGCTCAACAAATTCCTGGTTGATGAAAGCATCACCAACTGAAAAGTGAATGTCCTTCTAAAAGAGAAGGTGGCACAGGAGAAAAAAAAAATGTTTTTGAGGCACTGAGGATTGAACCCAGGGCCTCACAAGCACTCTGGCCTCCAAACAACTTTTTATATATGGATAGGCATAGCAGGTAAATTTCTTTTGGCATAAAACACAGCTTAAGGAAATAATAACCAAAATAAATTAGGATAACGTTGCATTTTGAGAATAACTTTGGTGGTGTTTTTCTGAGACACGGTCTCGCTATGTAGTTTAGGTGGCCTTGAACTCACTATGCAGCCCAGGCTGGCTTGAACTTGTTGTGACAGTCCTCTTGGCTCAGCCTCCCAAGTGTTGGGATTACAGGTGTGCACCACACCTGCAGTTTTTGGGTTTTTTTTGAGACAAATCTTGCTGTGTAATTCAGGCTGGCCTTGAACTCACTATGTAGCCTTGGTAGGCCTCAAACTTGTGGTGATCCTCCTGCCTCAGTCTCCTGAGTGCTCAGATTACAAGTGTGCAGCACCACACTCAGTGAGAATAAAAATTTAAATAACAAATATAAGCAATGTATAAATCAACCAATTTCTTCTTTCTCTTTGACTCTTCTTTTACATACCTCACCAGCTTGTGATTCTGAAAGTTCCAGTAGGAAAGGAATTTCTGTGTCAAAATTAGCAAAGAAGTTAGTCCACTGATGTTCAAAAGCCACCAAATCCTAGGAAGAAAATGAAAGAGATAATGTCATATAAAGGAGGGACTTAAGAAAACCCAAATCACGAAACTGCAATTGATCCCCAAATACCTGACTATACAGGTATGTATATACAAATATATATTTATATAATATATATTCACAATATTTATATCTAACATCTAATATATATTTATATGTAATATAAATAATATATATTTATATTTTATATATATTGGTTAAAAGGTAGTGGCATGCTGCTGATACATACTACCACATGCATGAGTCTTAAGAACATTACACTAAGTGAAAGAAGACAGATGTAAAGTGAAAGTGAAAGACCACCAGAGATGAGTTCCATTTATGAGACATTCAGAGAGGGCAAATCTATGGAAACATAAAGTATACTAGTACTTGCCTGGGCCTGGGTGTGGGGATGAAGACTGACTGCAAGTGTGTACAAGATATCTTTTGTTGTTATTGTTGTTTTTTTGAGACAGGGTCTCACTATGTAGTTCAGGCTGGCTTTGAACTCACTATGTATTCCAGGCTGGCCTGGAACTCGTGGTAGTCCTCCTGCCTCACCTCCTGAGTGCTGAGATTACAGATGTACACTGCCACACCCAGCAAGATAATTTTTTGGGTTGATGTAAAAGTTAAAAAATTAATGGTGATGGTTGCGCCAACTCTGTAAATTTACTAAAATCACTGAACTGTTAATTTAAAATGGGTGAATTTTATGTACATGAATTATAGTTCAAAAAATTATTTTAAAGAAGTAGTTAATGACCCTTACTTAATCAACTTACTTTATCAACTCTTGTTGGGAGGAAGAATTTATTTATGAGGCACCCTACTATGTCCAGTTCCCAAAGTCTCACAGCATGAAGCTTCACTGAAGGACAAATTAGCTAACCTTAGAAGTTCAGAGGGGCAGAGGTGGCATGGAGCCCTCTCTTCCTAGAGGCCATGTGAGTACTGAGGAACTCTACTCCTTCCCAGCTGACTATCTTCTACATGCAACTTGCGCATCCTATCCTAACCTAGCTGCTTTTCCTTTCTGAACTCATTCTATTTCCAAACACCACAGATTCCATTTTTTTTCTTTTTCTTTCTTTTTTTTTTTTCTCTCTCTCTCTTTTTTTTTTTTTTTTTTTGGTTTTTTGAGATAGGGTCTCACTATGTGGCTCAGGCTGGCCTTGAACTCACTATGTAGCCCAGGCTGGCCTCAAACTCAGAGTGAGCCTCCTGCCTCAGCCTCCCGAGTGCTGGAATCACAGGTGTGCGCCACTACACCCAGCATATATTGCATTTTGCTACTGGTTTTTATGTAAGGCATCATCAGTTAACAAAAACAACCAGCTATAACTTGCTTAAGATACTTTTCATGTAGTACCTTTGGTTTTATTTTGAAGATACTAATGTGTATTCAAATTGGATAGCTGCCTTCACTGTTCATTTTGACTTTGTAAGGGTAAGTATGTCAGGTATCCAGTCTAGTGCTCTGTTCACAACAGACATTCTGTCTGCTGCACCAAAGCTCACAGGGGGATCTACACTTTCCTCCATTCTTCTCTTCTAGTGGAGCACAGGTACTCAGACCTGTGGGCTTTGTGCCAGCCATGGACTGATTCTACTTCCTTTTTTTTTTTTTTTTTTTTCTGATTCTACTTCTGCAGTAAACATAATGGACCTCTGCTGGAATATTTAATGTGAACAGCAGTCTCACTAATGGATTCTCTATTTGCTTCCCAGACAAACTGACTATCTATGCTAACATGCACATGCATACATGTATATAATACATATTTTTTCAGTAAACATGTGACAGTGTTGATATTTTATGTCGATCCTTTTTTTTTTTGGTACCGGGGATCAAACTCGGGTCCTTGCACCTGCACAGCAGGTGGTGAAACCACTGAAATAAATCCCCGGCCCTTGATATTTTATGAACACATTTTCTATATACTGTAGGATAAAACAAGTCAGGCAGATAGGTGTGTGTGTGCATGTATACACACTGCATAAAGATGTATATACCACATATCTTAGGTGTATAGTAGGTCATATACCACCTAGGTTTTTGTAAGTATATTCTATGACATCTGCACAATGACAAAACTGCTTAATAACATATTTTTCAGACTATATCCCATTATTAAGTGACAACTGACTGTACATACATATACATGAAGGAGAGAGAGAGAGTGCAAGGAAAGGGAAGTAAAGGGAAGGAGAAGGAGGGAGAGAAATGAGAATTATCTAACTCTGTCTACTGAAGAAATCTAGAAACAATGACCAAAGCAGAAGTAATAAGTATTCCTATCACTCAAGATTGTGGTGCTGAAATACTATTTCCCATTCAAAGAAACCAGAATTTATTACAGAAAAAGACTAATTCCAGGTCTGGAACAGAACAAGAAGTGTATAAGATATGTGCCTGGTTCATCTTTTCACAACTATTGTGAAAAGGAAGTTACCAAGGACTATTAGTATTGAATTAAAGGGATAAGTCAGCCAGGCATGGTGGCATACACCTGTAATCTGAGCTACTCAGGAGGTGAGGCAGGGGAATTCTAAATTTGATGTCATCCTGGGGAATTTAGCAAGACTTTGTCTACAAACAACAAACAAACAAACAGCTAGCTAGAAATGTGCCCCTGGGTTCAATCCCCAGTATTGCAAAAAGAAAAGGTAAAAGGAAAAGAAAAGAAAAAAAATGTAAACCAACTTGAACAAAATTTATTACCCAAAGACAGAACAACCTGAGTATCACTAGAGATGATTATCTGCAATGGATATAAATACTTCTAATATGCCTACATGTATGAGTTCAAATTTACATATTCTTAAAAACCCAAATATTCTAAAAAACCCAATATTTCTGAAGAATGGTTAGGAACCAACTTTACTTTGAAAACTGAGACATAAAAGCAAGAGTTAGCCAATTGTGGTGGTGCACACCTGTAATCCAAGCACTTGGGCAATTTAGTGACTTAGCAAAACTCTGTCTCAAAATAAAAAATAAAAAGGGTTGGGGATGCAGCTCAGTGCAAAGGTTCTAGGTTCCATTCCCAGGTACCACCACCACCACCACCACCACCACCAAAGAAAGGCAAGAGTTCAAACACTGATCATACTTCTCCTACATGAATGTAATACCATATAACTAAATAGCAAATTTTTTTTTTTTTGCTTTTTGAGACAGGGTCTTGCTATGTAATTTAGCCTAGCCTTTTTCTCATGATGTAGCCCAGGCTGGCCTCAAACTCACAGTGATCCTCCTGCCTCAGCCTTCCGAGTGCTGAGATTACAGGAGTGCACTACCATGTCCAGCCTAAATAGCAAATTGACTATTTCTCTGTATAAAAGTAATATAAATGGAGAAGGAGTTACAGTACTGAGTTCCAATTACCATTTTACATTGTGAATTAAGACAGGGGGTTGCACAGCAATGGTTGTTCAAAAACCAAAGAGACCAGGCTGGGGATTTAGCTCAGTGGTGCCGTTGCCTGCCTCACAAGCACAAGGTCCCAAGTTCCATCCCCGGTACCAAAAACCCCCCCCCCAAAAAACAAAAGCAAAGAGACCTATTAAACATTATATACATCTTGATAAAGAATATAATACCTTCTAGGAAGTAGTCTTTCCTCTGAAAATCAGTTCTGAAACTCATTAAACTTCTACATTCAATTACTAATAATCAGGAAATACAATGGTCAGAAAAAAATTTAACTTACATAAAAGGAATGAAATTCAAACATCCCTATAGTGGGAGACCTTAATACTCTACTATCACAAAACAGATTAACACAACAACAACAACAACAAAAAATCAAAGAAATAGCAGTTGAACCAACATCTGAACAAACAGACTTAATAGGTATCTACAGTGTTCTACCCAACCACAATAGAATACACATTCTTCTCAGCAGTGTATGGAACTTTCCCCAAAATAGACCACATACTGGCCCATAAAGCATGCTTAAATATGTAAAAAAAGAACTGAAATTATCTAACGCATATTTCCAGATCATAGTGCAATGAAATTAGAGATCAGTGTGGCTGAGGATTTAGCTCAGTGGAGCAAGGTCCTGAGTTTAATCCCTGGTACCAAAAACAAAAAAATCTAGAGATCAATGGCAACCCCCCCCCCAGAAATTATGCAAACACGTGGAGATTAAACAATACACTTTTTTTGGAGACAGGGTCTCTCTATGTAGCCTAAGCTGACTTCAGAGGGCTGGCATTACAGGTTTGCACTGCCACAGTAGGCTGAACAATACACTCTTGAGTAATCAATGGGTCACAGAGGAAATTAAGAAAGAAACTGGCTCCTAGAATCAAAGGATAATGCTGGTACAACATATCAGAACCTATGGAACACACTGAAAGCAGTCCCAAGAGGGATGTTTATAGCTGTAAGCAACCCCATCAGAAAAACAAAGGGAGCCCAAATAAATACCTAATGATGAAGTTCAAGGTCTCAGAAAAACAATAATCCAAATCCAAAGCAAGTACAAGGAAGGAAGTTATAAAGATCAGGACAGAAATTAATGAAATTGAGACTAAAAAACAACACAAAGAACCAATGAATTGAAGAGCTGGTTCTTTGAAAGAATAAACAAAATAGACAAACCTTTAGCCAATCTTACCAAAAAAAAAAGAAAAGAAAAGACCCAAACCAATACAATTAGAAACAAGAAAGGAAAAATTACAATGGACACTGCTGAAATCTAGACGATTACTAGTAACTACTATGAAAACCTATACTACTAAATTGGAAATCGAGAAGAAATGAATAAAGTCCTAGATAAATATGAATAATCAAAACTGAACCAAGAAGTAAAAACCCCGAATAATCCAATAACAAGCAATGAAATTGAAGCATAAAAAACAAAAACAAAAACAAAAAACCCTGTCAACTAAGAAAAGCCCAAGATGGATTCACCACTAAATTCTACCAGAACGTTAGGGGAAATCTAACACCAATACTCCTCAAACTCTAATGAAATTGAAAGGGA